TATTGACCTGACTCCACTTGTAGATTATAAACCACTTACTACTTTCCATTCCAGGTTCATATTCTATAAGAATATGAAGGACTATGGCCCATGGGCCAAATTTGTTTGCCACCTATTTTTATAAACAAAGTTCTATAGAACACAGCCACACCCATTCATCTGTGCCCTATTTATCTGGGTGGTTTTGCACTGCTGCAGCAGAGTAACACCATAGCAACAGAGAGCACATGACCTGTGTGTGCTCTGCAAAGCCTAAATTATTTACTACCTGACCCTTTACAGAAAAAGTTTACCAATCCCTAATCTAGGTACATTCATTGTGGTAATAGTTTAAATCAGAGAGCCAACAGGTATTGGATTTAGAAGGAAGCAGAGAAATTTAGTCTCTTAACTCAGGACCTTATTATATAGTTCATGCAGCTGTTGAGACTCTGCTCAAATGCTTCCAGTGCTGGGAAGCTAATTTTAGTAAACAAAACTGCCCTCTTGATTTCAGGGTAACTCTAATTAGCAGCAGAATTTTTCTTATATTTAACTTCCTTTATGTTTTTTATAAGCTCTTCAAGTATATCCCCCTAATAATATCTACATATGAGCCTAATTTTGCTTTCTGGGCCTGCCTACAATGAAATCTCCCTTCTCACCACCCTATATTAGGAAATAGTCATCTTGTTTTACTGAGTTAACCCTTGTTCACATAAAACATTCCCAATGTCTCCAAGAGGAGAGACATGTCTGTTTTGTTTATCCCAAGTCCCCAGCTCCCTAAACAGACTAGCTACATAGCAGACTCCCAACCAATACTGGTTCAAAAAAAAATAATAATAACCGAATTTATCTTTGTATTATATGTATGCAATACCTCACCACTCTAGTAACCCCCTCTAAATGAGTATTGCCACCTGGCAAATAAAAAAATTTAAACAATTTATTTGTGTAAGATATATCTATTTAATCCATGTGAATTTTATTATAGAAATCACTGAAATTCCAAGGTAGGATTTGAGGAAATTAAATGAAATGGATTTTCCAGATTATGTACGTTATGTATATTCATATATCACAATT